GGTCGATGCCGGGATTAACCAAGCTGCAGAGGAAGGGTCCCAGGTGGAGAGCAGAGCCAGGCTGCAGCCACAAGGCTGACCCAAATCTGCTCCACGGGGCTCAGACCCCTCCAAGGAGCAGAATGAGGAGCCCAGACTGAGCCCTGCAAACACCACGAGTATTCAGTAGCAGTGAGCAGGGAATGGGACCAGAGCCCCTCACCATCACCCAGGGGCGTCACTGGCTGCAGAGAGCAAGACACAGAGTCTTCCTCCCGGCTCTCATCCTTTTGTCTCCTTACCTTGAGTGCTGGCCAGATCACTCCCCAAGGAGCCCAGCATGGGAGGAGCTCTCCACTCTCAGCGTGGAACAGCTCACCCTCCCGAGAAGGGGCTGCACCAGCCCAGGTAAGCAGAGCTGCTGCTGAGTCAGGGCTTGCCCAGCTTTGAGCGGTGCCCCAGTGTCCCCCCGGCTGGAGCCACCCGGCTGAGTCCCCGCTCGGGGCTTCCTCAAGAGGGACTCTCGATTTTCAACCCATGAGCAAATTTAGTGCTAGGAAAGGCAGACAGCAAGTGGGCACAAGCTCTGGGGTTCTGACAATGCTGCCAGCCACTCAGCCCTCCCCGGCTCCATCAGATCCCCGCTCCTCCAGCCAACCCGACCCAGTGTGAACCAGTGCCCTGCTCCGAGGCTGTTGCCCTCAGTGCTGACCCCTGCTACTCCCTTCCCACACTCGCCGAAGCTTGATGGCCACAGCCCCATCACCCCGAGCCAGTAGGGAGGAACAGCATGAGAGTCCTCGGGGAGGGCAGAGCAGGTATGGGAGCAGAGCTGACTCAGAGCGTCCCAGCCCGGGGCAGTGCTCGAGGAGGGGAAGGAAAGCAGCTGTGCCCCGAGATCCCTACCGGGGTGGGTGCTCTTCTCCCAGTGGGGTGAAATCTCACCCCTGATCTCGAGAGGTCTTCCCGGCCCTCCTGTTGCTCTGGACACGGGCTGCATCCCGGCTCTATCCCCGCTCCATCCGGGATCCATCCCCGCTCCATTCCCACTCCATTCCTTCTCCATTCCCTCTCCATCCCCGCTCCATCCCGGATCCATTCCCTCTCCATTCCCGTTCCATCCCCGCTCCATCCCGGATCCATCCCTGCTCCATCCCAGCTCCATCCCCGCTCCATCCCCGCTCCATCCCGGATCCATCCCTGCTCCATCCCCACTCCATCCCAGCTCCATCCCCGCTCCATCCCGGATCCATCCCCGCTCCATCCCGGATCCATCCCCGCTCCATCCCAGCTCCATCCCCGCTCCATCCCTGCTCCATCCCGGATCCATCCCTGCTCCATCCCCACTCCATCCCAGCTCCATCCCCGCTCCATCCCGGATCCATCCCCGCTCCATTCCCGTTCCATCCCCGCTCCATCCCCGCTCCATCCCGGATCCATCCCCGCTCCATCCCCGCTCCATCCCGGATCCATCCCCGCTCCATCCCGGATCCATCCCCGCTCCATCCCGGATCCGCCGCTCCCGGGACCCTCCGGCCTCTGCCGCCCGTGCCGCGGCCGCGCAGCGCCCCCTGTCGGCGCGGCCCGGCCGCGCGGGGGGCTCGGGGGTCTCTCCCGGGGTCGCTCCCGGGATCTCTCCCGGGGTCGCTCCCGGGGTCTCTCCCGGGGTCGCTCCCGGGATCTCTCCCGGGATCTCTCCCGGGGTCTCTCCCGGGGTCTCTCCCGGGATCTCTCCCGGGATCTCTCCCGGGGTCTCTCCCGGGGTCTCTCCCGGGGTCGCTCCCGGGGTGTTCCCGGGGTCGCTCCCGGGGTCGCTCCCGGGGTGTTCCCGGGATCTCTCCCAGGGTCTCTCCCGGGGTCTCTCCCGGAGTCTCTCCCGGGGTGTTCCCGGGGTCTCTCCCGGGGTCTCTCCCGGGGTCTCTCCCGGGGTCGCTCCCGGGGTGTTCCCGGGATCTCTCCCAGGGTCTCTCCCGGGGTCTCTCCCGGAGTCTCTCCCGGGGTGTTCCCGGGATCTCTCCCGGGGTCTCTCCCGGGGTCTCTCCCGGGGTGTTCCCGGGGTGTTCCCGGGGTCTCTCCCGGGGTCTCTCCCGGGCCCCCGCAGCGGCTCCACGGCCCCGGCCCGTAGCAGGTTCCTCGCCGAGTGCTGCGGCCCCGCGGGCGCTACCCGACCCTTCACTGCAGGGCCTGAGGCAAAGGGGTCATTTCGGGGGTCTCTTCAGTCATCCCCACGCTGGAGAGTGAGTCCAGCTCCGCGGCCGGAACTGCCGGGACACCCCACAGCTCCCACATCGGCTCCCGCGGGCACCAAGGCAGCAGCTCAGGGGTAAGAGGCAAGCTCCTGCCTGCTGGTATCAGCAGCCAGCTCCTGCCCAAAGAGCCCCCCCAGAGCACTCAAAGCTTCTTTTCCCACCTCCTTCCTCTTTTCCAGCCCTTCCAGGCAGCTTGGCTGGAGGACCTTCCTCCCTCCATCTGCTTCAGGCCTCAGGCCAAGTCCAGGGCTGCTCCCGGTTCCATCCAACACCCCGGCAGTGCTGCCCTGCTCCTTGGTGCACACCCATCACGCCACGCACCTGCCCAGGTGCATCCCATCCCCAAAGCTCCACTCACCTCCCCCACAGTCACCCCAGACCTCCACAGCTGCAGCATCCCTGGCTCTGCTCATGGGGCAGCATTAGGCTGTAACAGAGATTTCAGTAACACTGATCCTTAGCTTATCCAGCCCTTGGTGCTCAGCAGCCGCTTGCCCCAGCACTGCCCATGCATCCACGTGCCATAGGGAGCTGCAGGTTTGCCCATGGGGTGCTCAGCACATCACTTCTTCCAAAGGCTGGAAACAGGCTGGGACACCAAGCAGGACAGTTCAACTGGCAGGAGATTTCTCTGGGATCATGTTCTCTGTTTTTAGCCCTTTCATCAATCTTCACAGAGCTAACTGGTGCACGAGTGCAGGATGGACAGTGTCAGCCCCAGTAGGCCTTTGCAAGGACAGGGCTGACAGCTTGGAGCTCCCTGCCTGTTCTCAGCAGTGTTTCCAAGGATGCAGGATGCAGCCACCAGCACGAAGCTGAGGATGCTGAGCAGGACATGGTGGGCCCAGAGCAGCCACAACCCCTTGGGCACATCTGCACAGGAACCAGCGTCTGGGGCGTTGTTAGTGCAAAATCAACTGGAGCTTGCAGTGTCCCAAGGCAGGGTGGCCAAAGGTGATGTTCTTTATCTGTGCCTTGTGCTCCTCAGATACCAATATCAAAATGTGCCTTGAAACACTCCTGACATCAGATATCCCTCAGAGATTGGCGCAGTACTTCCTTCTCACTCATCTCTTCCCTCCCGGAGGAGCCGATGAACACGATATGGTATCAGGACCTTCCCTACGCTGTTAGCAGCAGCACAGGGACTTGGTGACCCACCTCAGAAGAGCAAGCCAAATATTTAGGCAAAGTCCTATCACCTGGCAAGCGATAACACCTTTATTATGAGCCCTCTACAACCTCGGTGCTGCCAGGACGCTCTGTCCTCACTGAAGGACAATCTTGAACTCAGGGCAACACATGCAGATAAAAAATAGTTCCTTGAGTAAATATCAGCGTTGGGCTGAGAGAGGAGAGAGCTGGACTGGCAGAGGAAAGTGCTGGGCTGGCAGAGAGGCACACTGAGCTGAGGGAGTAGAGCGTGGGGTGGCAGACAAAGTGCTGGGTGCTGTTAGCCCAGCACCCACTCCATGCCCCCCCTGAGCAGGAGCGTTGGCTCAGGGCTCAGATCTCAGGGCTGGGGGCTCAGGGCAGGATCCACCCAGCATTTCCACTGCCTGAAAATGCCTAAGGCTGCACTCCCAGCTGGTGTCAGCCCAGAGGTTCCTGGTGGGAACCCTCGGACCTCTCACAGTGTCCTTGCAAGCTTATCCCATGTCACACCAGGGAAACAGCCACACTGAACACCAATGCCCCTGACAAATCAGTCCAGATGGGAATACTTGAGATGCTCAGGACTACGAAGAGGCTGTCATTCCATCCAGGAAGAACAAACCCATGTGCCTAGAACTCATCTACCCAGCCCAGTCTTGGGGAGAAACATCAAAGAACAACCCCAGACAGGGCTGGGAAAACCAGGTGGAGACAGCTCTGCTTGGTGAGGAGAGGGTGGCAGGCAGTTAGGAAGCAAAGCACCAAGGAATAAATCTGCAACCTGAGCAGAGGAAGAGCAGCAAAGACATCGAGGTTGTGAGTTCAGAGCCCAGGGAACCAATGCAACTTATGTTACGTAACTCTACAAAAGCCTTAAACTCAGTTTTTCTGAGAAACAAGTCCTCAGCAATGATTAAACCCAAAGAAGCCATAAACCAGCAGATCCCATTGCATCATTGATAAGATACAATGGGATGCTGATACAGTGAAGCTCAGCACTGTACGTTGAGGGTCACCCGTGGAGAGCAGCAGAGTGCAGTGGGACACGGGGACTCAGAGCTGTGCTCACCCTCAGGAGCATCTCTGGGGGTTGATGCATGGTCAGGATCCAAGGAAGAGCCTCCTTTTCCAGCGAGCAGCTCAACAAAGCCACACTGGAAAACCGCGGGTGAATCCAAGCCCCTCCCTGAGCCTCCATCTCAAGGCAGACAAGCAGTCCTGGGGCGTGAGCTGCCTTCTGAGGCTGAACTCTGACCACAGAGCAGGGCACCGAGAGCCAGGAGTGGGGACAGGACGCCACGGTGGGCTGAGAGGGACAGGGGGCTGTGGAGGCAGGTTCCCAGCCTCCCACCACAGCAGCAAGCTCCCCGTTCACACACACCAAAACAGCACCACCACCGCTGAGGGAAGATGCAGATTTGGCATTTGACCCAGAAGGAGCTTTAAGATAATCTATTGCAGCAAGACAAACAAGAGACACTTGTCCTGATAGCAAATGCTGGCTGAAGCCACACACCCGATCAGCAACTGCAAGATTAGATAAGGACCGAACTTAGTCCCATCCTGCACGTATTAATGGGAGCTCTCAGGGCACCCGGGCTATTCCAGTTCAAGGGCATGAAGATGCTCCTGCCACTGGGGCTCCTCCTTGCTGCCCTGTCCTTAGGAAGATGCATCCCCCTGCAGCAGGCGCCCAACCGCAGCAAACTCCTCCTGGTGTCCTTCGACGGCTTTCGGTGGAACTACGACCAGGACGTGGACACCCCCAACCTGGACGCCATGGCTGCGGACGGGGTGAAGGCCAAGCACATGACTCCTGCCTTCATCACCCTCACCAGCCCCTGCCACTTCACGCTGCTGACCGGTGAGTGCCCCGGCCACGGGAGCCGCGCGGGGGCTGGGCAAGGGCAGCCTTGAGGCTTTATGGGCCGGTGAAGGACACGAGAGCACGAGGCATCCAAACCACCCAGACCCGGCAGCACACAGAGCTTTGGAGCAGACAAGGCAGGAGATGCAGAAATGGTACATTTAAACTAGATACAAAGAAATTCTTCCCTGTGAGGGTGGTGAGGCACAGATTTCCCCATCCCTGGAAACGTCCAAGGCCAGGCTGGACAGGGCTTGGAGTCAGCCTGGTGTGGTTAAAGGTGTCCCTGCCCGTGGCAGAGAGGTGGAATGGGACGGTTTTTAAGGTCCCTCCAAACTCAAACCGTTCTGGGATTCCATGAATTGAATCTGTATTTATCAAAGGTAAATAACACCAGACCAACTCGATAGCCTCTTTTGATAAGATAAATTATTTTTTAAACAAGGGATAGGCTCTAAATTTAATCTTTCTGGACTTCAGTAGTGCATTTGATACAGTGCCACATGGGAAATCATTAGTTAAGATGGAGAAGATGAAGATTAGTACAAAATCTGTAATGTGGGGAAGTGAGAGGCTACGGGAAGAGGACAGAGTGGATGCTGAGAGGAGATTGTCAAGCTGGAGGGAGGGCACCAGGGGAATTCCTGAAGAATCGATTTTGGAGCCAATCTTATTTAAGATTTTAATTAATAACCTTGGTATAAAAGAGTGGAGCATGCTAATGAAATCTGCTGATGGGCAAAAGCAGGGAGGCAGTGTCAATATGAGGGAGGATGGGGATCTCGTGCAGAAGGGACTGCGCAGTCTTCGGGACCAGAATAATAAAAATAGCACAAAATGTAAGAGTCAAAGTGCATCTCTCCCTTCTAATGGAAACTTCTGCTCACTGACCTCACAGACTGCGAACAACAGCAAAAGTGAAACACCATGTGATTAGATAAACACAGGATAACAGGAACCTGCCCATGCCCAGAGGGCAGCAACAACTGCAGGTGGTGCCAGTGCCTGGCTGGTGACCCACCAGACATCACCAAAGCCACACGGGAAGCAGCACTCCCCCAGCATCTCCCTCCCTGCCCCGGGACCCCACTTGGTAGAGTGCAAGAATAGGAAGGGGAGGCCAAAGTTCCCTCTGCCCAAAGCCAGCTCTACACCCAGTGTGGGGGTGAAACCCCCCAGCAAAGCCTGGCTCACCCCTCCTCTCGTCTCTCCCCCAGGGCGGTACCTGGAGAACCACGGGGTGATCCATAACATGTGGTTCGACACCAACACGGGCGTGAAACTGCCCTACTACACCACACAAGGCATAAGCAGCTGGTGGGACAACGGCAGCCTCCCCATCTGGATCACTGCCCAGAGACAGGCAAGTGTGGCCCCTCCTCACACACACAGACCCTGCACAGACCCATCCAACCTGCCACCCCCCAGGAAAAGCTACAGGCAAGCCACAATCCCTAGTGGCCGTGAGAGCCCAGCCTCCCTATGAACGTCAGGCTAATTAGACCAGCAAAAAACTGAAATCCCCAGACTCTGGCAGGAATAATTATGATCATTCTACTAAAAATAGCAAAAAATAATGGATGCATTTCAGCTTTATTAAGACATTAATAAAGCAGGTTATCCTGTTCCTGTTTAAAGAAGCCTCAGCCAGCTCCTCAGGGAACATCCTGAGCCTGGGAGCCCCACACAGCCCGGGGCACATCCAGGGCAGCTGCGTGGTGGCAGCAGTAGGGGCCACCCCCCTGGGAACTGCAGCAAGCCCAGCAGGCTTTGAATCTGGCTTTGAGGCAGGACATGAAACCCAGCCCAACACCTTTGCCCACATTTACCTGTCAAATTGGCTCTTCTGACTTCAATTAAACACACCTTAATGTCATGATGGTCAAGAACCAGAGGGCCCATGCAAAGTGCAAATGGGTCACCGGTTCCAAAGTTTTAAGTGGTGTTAAAACTCAGTGAAGAACCAGGTGCAAAGGCAGTGCTTTCAATTAATCACTTTTAATTGGCAATGAGCAAGAAAACCTCATTAGAGGCAGAGGCAGACATTGGGGACTGAATGAACTAATCGTGTTAGGAGGTGGCTGCACTGACAGATGGAAGGATGCTGCTGAGAGAGTTCAGGTGAGTTTATGGAATGCCTCCACTCACAGGGCTTGAAGACAGGCTCCATCCACTTCCCTGGAACCAAAGCGAAATACCGAGGGGAAGAAGTGTACAAGAAGTTGGTGGAACCCGCATTGTTCAACTACAGCAACGAAACCAACTGGAGGCAGAGCATTGACACTGTCATGGAATGGTTCACAGTGGACAACCTCGACTTCATCACGCTCTACTTTGGGGAGCCAGACTCCTCAGGACACAAGTTTGGCCCTGAATCCACACAGAGGAAAAACATGATCAAGCAGGTGGACAGAACCGTCGGTTACTTGAGGCAGCGTATCCGGGAAAGTGGCCTGGAATCAAAGCTCAACCTCATCATCACCTCTGACCACGGCATGGAGACCGTCCTAAACACCGACGAGATTCACATCCGCACCATCAGCAACTTCACATTCAAAGACATCGACTTCGAACTCCTAGATTATGGACCAAATGGACTCCTGGTGCCAAAAGAAGGGAAGTTGGAGCATGTGTACTCAGTCCTGAAAAACGCCCACCCGAAACTGCACGTTTACAAGAAGGAAGAGTTTCCAAAGAGGTTCCACTACGCCAACCATTCCCGGATCACCCCACTTTTGTTGTACAGTGATCCAGGCTACGTGATCCATGGGGTAAGGTGTATGCTCAGGCATATCCTACTGCTCTTTGGGATGTGCCTCTCACTCCTCCCCTTCCCACAGCACCCCAGCACCCACCCAGCTTTAGGCCTTTGTACTAATTGGTCTCTGTACATACAGACATAAATTTCAGCTCTTTGTGTAAAGATCTTCTCTGCTGCTGAGAAGAGAAAGTATCCAGAAAACTTGGAGTAAGAGTTGCATGAGTGCAGAATATCCACTGCAGCATCCTCTCCCAGCCTGACTTAAGGGAAGGCCCAGCATCAAGGCCAGCAGGCAGCTTCCCATTGGAAGCTCCTCAGTACAACAAAATTTGGATGTGCAAAGATTTAGGGAGGGAACTTGCAGGATGTAATTGCTTGAGTGCGGTGTCTGGAGGCCCCTCCAGCTTCTGCAGAGTTTAACACCAACAGATCAACTCCCCAAACTGAAAGGAACTGACCAGACCCTCAAAGCCCGGAGCTGCAGAATGCACATGCGGGGGGCAGCAGGGCTGGGGTGGTCACCTCTGCTCTCCCCTCCAGAGGTACAAGGTGCAGTTCAATAAAGGGGAACACGGTTTTGACAACGAGGCCACGAACATGAAAACCATCTTCCGTGCCACGGGACCAGCCTTCAAGAAGGGGCTGGTGGTGGAGCCCTTTGAAAGCGTCAATGTCTACGCCCTCCTCTGCGAGCTGCTGGGCATCACCCCCGAGCCCCACGACGGCTCCCTGGAGGTCACCAAGCCCATGCTGAGGGAACCCATGGACAATGACAGTGACGATGACAATGACAGCAATGGTGAGCAGCGGGACTCATGGGGGGCACCGGGAGTGGCAGTGGGCACCAGCGGTGACAGTGGGCACCAGGAACAGGAACAGGCAACAGAAGTGGCAATGGGCACCAGGCACTGGGAGCAGCACTGGGAGCAGCACCGGGCACCGGGAGCGGCATCGGGGGTGGCAATGGGCACCGGGAGCAGCACCAGGAGTGGCAACGGGCACCAGGAGCGGCACCGGGTACTGGGAGTGACACTGGTAGCGGCAATGGGCACCGGGAGCAGCACCGGGCACCGGGAGCGGCGCTGGGGGTGGCAATGGGCACTGGGAGCGGCACCAGGGGTGGCAATGGGCACTGGGAGCAGCACTGGGCACTGGGAGCGGCACCGGGAGCGGCACCGGGCACTGGGAGTGGCACCGGGAGCGGCAATGGGCACCGGGAGCGGCACTGGGCACCGGGAGTGGCACCGAGCAACAGGAGCGGCACCGGGAGTGCACTGGGGGCGGCAATGGGCACCGGGAGTAGCACCGGGCACCGGGAGCGGCACCGGAAGCGGCACCGGGCACTGGGAGCGCACCGGGGGCGGCAATGGGCACCGGGGGCGGCACCGGGAGCGGCACCGGGCACTGAGAGCAGCACCGGGTACCGGGAGCGGCACCGGGAGCGCACCGGGGGCAGCACCGAGAGCGGCAATGGACACCGGGAGCGGCACCGGGCACCGGGAGTGGCACCGGGAGCGCACCGGGGGTGGCAATGGACACCGGGAGCGGCACCGGGAGCGCACCGGGGGTGGCAATGGGCACCGGGAGCGCACCGGGGGTGGCAATGGACACCGGGAGCGGCACCGGGAGCGCACCGGGAGCGCACCGGGAGCGCTCCGCTCCGCCGGGATTCCCGCGAGAACAGCGACACCTGGCGGCCGCCGCCGCTCCCGCCCCGCCCGGCGGCTCCGCGGCACCGGGCCGTGCCCCCCACCCCGCCGCGCTCGGTAACCGGGCGGAGTCACCGTGTCCCCGGCGCCGGGGCGAGCTGCTCCCGGCCGGGCAGAGGGAGCAGAGTGGGTGGCAGGAGGTGACGGTCACCGCTGGGTGCCGGCCCGGGGCCGGGCTGCCGTTCACGCCCCTCTCGGCCCGGCAGGTTCGGGTCCTTCTCTCCATCCCGCCGAGAAGCTGCCGCTGCCGCTGGGACTCGCTGTGCTCCTGGGGTGCTGGGGAGGAGTTTTCTAACGCCAGCAGGTAACCGACCCCAAGGACCCCCAGAAAGGGCCAAACACCCGGGCAAACGCGTGCCCCGTTTGGGCGTGGTCTCCCCGGGTTTCCTCTGTGTGTGGAGCCCCCGAAACCGCTCCCTGCAGAACAGAGCAGGGGATTTGCACCTCAGACAGCACTCAGTTCTTCCTGCCCCGGGTCAGCATTGGCACCGCCCAGGACATGGGCTGCGATGAAGAGAAGGAGTGGGCACCCTCTTGGACCCTGCCACTGCCCCCTGTCCTGTGCCCTCTGTCCTCTTTGTGCAGCCAGGTCTGCACCGTGGCACGAGAACCACAAAAGGTGAACCCTTCACTGTCTGTGGCTCTGCACATGGCTGTGTGTGGCTGCCAGACCAGAGTTTGTCACTTGCCTTCACAGTGCAAATTTGTCCAGAGACCCACCAGAGCAAGTAACTCCTGATCCAATTCCCTGGCACGACGCGCCTCCAGCCGACACCTGCAGGCTGCAGAGGCCTGAAACAAGCACCAGCAGCACCTTGCTCTCCTGTCCTGGCAGCCCCAAGCTCCAGGCAACTCTACCAGAACACACGGCAAGATGGGGAAGGACATGGCTCACAAAGACAACCAGTCCCAGGCTCAGGGAATGGGACAGAATTCCCAAAACCTCTCTGAATTACTGACCCACGCTCCCCCGACATGCTGAGTCTCTGGAGGAGAAGCCTCTCCCAGGCTCTGGGGGGACACCAGGATGCACTCCTGTGGAAGGTGGCACTGATGTCCAGCCTGACTCGGTCACCCCGTGTTTGCATCACCCCAAAAGCAGGAGGCAGAACAGCTCCGGGGTGGGTTTGGAGCAGAGACAGCTGATACATATTGAGTATCCAAGCAAATTAACATGTGTTCCAAGCTGGGAGCTGCCCCTGAAAGGCCCCAGGCCCCACCCAGGGTGGACCCGCTCAGCCTGGACCCACCGGGGACACAGAGAGGCCCTGTTGGCCCCCACTGGCCACAGTGCAGGGCTGGCCATGGCACTCCCAGCCCCGAGCCCCTTTGGGAAGTGTCCCAAAGTCACTCAGCACCTCCAGCTCCTGTCCCAAGAGCCCTACCAGCAGCGTCCTGCTTGTCTTTCTGTTCTTTGTGGCTGTGGGCAAAACTGGGAAATGTCACCTATGCACCCCTGAGCAGCAAACCTGCAGGCAAGATGGGCCTGGCTGCACTGCTGCACAGCAGAACTGCTGAGACCTGCCCCGAGTGCAGCCAAGTCAGCTCCTGCGAGCTCTGGGAGGGGCGTTGATGTATTTTGGAACGTGGCAGTGCCAGGGCCAGGACCCCCCAGCTCACAGCAAACAGCCCTGTCATTCCTGAGCAGGAGCTGGCAGAGGCTGGGCTGGCTGTGCCAGGCTCTGCAAATGCAAACCTCCCTCTGCAGGAAGCAGCCCAGGGTCCCTCAGCCAGGCTGGGGCTTGGGGGACAGGGAGCAAGACCCCTCCCAACCAGCAGCCCCCCCCTCCAGCCCTCCCAGCGCGGCATTCTGGTACCCCCAGACCCTTCTCAGATGCTGTGGTGCCTTTCCCCAACCCTGTGCCTCATCTCAGGGGCTCGATAAACATCTGTTGCCATAGAGACTCGCTCGCTGCATCGGCTTCACCCAACGAGATGAAACAAGAGCCACACCCTCAGAAAAACAGGAAGAAAATGTTTGGCTTTAAACTGTGCTGGGGTGGGGGTCAGGGCAGCAGCAGGGAGGCTCTGAAAGGGGAGTATGGCCAGCGCTGTGCACGCTATTGAAAATGATATTAATGATAAGAGTGTGCACAGAGACCTTCCCAGTTCTCCTGCAGGTGACCTTGGGGCTTCCCCTGCACAGCCACGCACATCCTACGGCAGGAGCAGCATCCTGGAGATCCCGGCAGAGCCTGCAGAGCTCAGAACCCACTGGTACCAGGCTCTGACTGTCCTCATGCCCAGGGTGCCCAGCAGGTACAGAGCAGGATCACAAACCCATGGAATGGTTTAGGTTGGAAGGGCCCTTAAAGCTCATCCAGTGCCACCCCTGCCATGGCAGGGACACCTTCCGCTGTCCCAGGCTGCTCCCAGCCCTGTCCAACCTGGCCTTGGGCACTGCCAGGGATCCAGGGGCAGCCACAGCTGCTCTGGGCACCCTGTGCCAGGGCCTCAGCACCTCACAAGGAAAAATTTCCTCCTAACATTTGACCTAAATCTCTCCTTTCTGAAGTTTAAAACCACTTCCCTGTCCTATCAATCTCTCTGCCCATTTAAAATGCCACTCTCCCTCTTTTTTATAAGCCTTTAAGTACTGAGAAGCCACAGTGCTCACAGGGCTGGTCCCAGTCTGGTTCCCAGACCACACAGGGAACATGGAGTTTGTAGTGACCAACGTCCTGACACAAATCCTCATCTGAGAGCCGATGAGGATTTCAGCTGGGAGCAGGAATTGAGTTCCTCACTCAATCAGCAGCATTTGGGTGAGACACAGCTCTGCCAGAAAAATCCATGGCGAGGAAGGGACCATCCCGGAGAAAGGCCGAACCCTGACACATCCCTGCAGGAAGTTTCCACTGCCTTCAAGACACAGGGATTGCCACGGGACACGCCTCGGTGGGGCTGTTCCACTCGGGGTGGCCGGATGTAGCACACTGGTCACGGTATTGATGCAGCCACATTTCCAACGCGGACCATTCCCGAGCCCCGGGATTCTGAGCACGCGGGAGCTGGGGGATCCCCCTCCCTGGCCCAAGAGCTGGTTCTGTTCTTCCATCCCCCCGTCTCCATCTCCCGCTGGCGCCCGCCCTGCCGGTGTCCCGGTGTCCCGGTGTGTCGGTGTCCCGGTGCAGTACCGGCAGCCGGCGGCCGAGGGCTCCCGAGCCGCGCTCAGCGCTCCCGAGCTCCCGGCACGGGCGGGGGAAGCGGCTCCCGGTAAAAGCCCGGCCCGGAGCATCTCCCCAGACCCGCGGCGCTCGCAGGCACCGGCCCTGCCCAGCGCCGGCCGCTGCCCCGGGGCCATCCGGTGCCCGCCGGGAGAGGATCTGCTCCTCGTCCTGAGAGAAAAGCCGGGGAGCCACCCGCTGCCGCCGGGCGCTCCCCAGGACCCACTGCAGCTCCGGCGGCACCACACGCGCTGGGACGCTCCAAGGGATGCTCTGGAGGATCCACGACACACACCGGAATGTCACGATCCCCTCCTGGCCCTGACTACATGTCCCGGGCTGAGGGATGCTTTGACGTGCCAGGCCAGGGAGATGAGAGGGATCTCCCTGCTCTGGGTGCGAGTTTTAACCCCACAGACACACAGAACCTAAACTGGCTCCTGGTCCCCAGCCCCGGAGCCATCTCTAGCTCAGCCTCTCCCAAGGAAAACCCAAACCTGTCGCATTTTGCATCTCCTTCAAGCCTTTCCCAGCCTTTCCCGTTGCTCCTCACACCTTGTGCGTTTGCAGTGTAGGACATTTTCACCAAACATTTCCCGATGACAAAGGCCAAAGCCCGGCCTGGCCTTGCCCGGACACAGTGGCAGCCGGATCCCCGCGTCTCCTCCCGCCCTCCCATCCCCACGTAATTCATTCCCCACCGCCCCCCTCCCCGGGCTGGGGGTCAGGCAGCAGGGAGAGCCCCGCTGTGTATTGCATCCCAATTTGCCATGCATTTCCACACCATTTGCTTCCTTTTCTTTTTTCTGCACTGGGAAGCTGCTCGCTGCCCAGGGGTCCCAGCCACTCCGGGATGGGAACGTAACAACAAACATACAAGGACACGTATTTATTTATGGCACGCAGCGTGTGGGGACACCGCTGCCTCCCAAAATGCCTGGTCTGGGGGTGGCACGTGCCCCTCTGCCTCCCGCCCAGGGTCACAAGTCCCAGACACGATGTGGTCCTGGCCACCCCATCCTGGAAGCTGCACAGCTCCATACCCGGCTGCAGTACCCAAATGAGATGCAGATCTCTGTGCTTTGATTGGCTGATGCCTGGGGAAAACAGCCACCATTTGCCCGCAGCAAACATGGCCACCATGGCCTGGCTGTTCCCTGGGCTGGCCCCAGCTCACCCTCTGGAGTCAGGGACATCCCACACCCCCTCAGGCACCCCCGTCACCACTGCTATGGGGGTCCTGCGGCGCTGGAGGGCACGGGGCACCCCTGCAATGCACCTGATTTGGGGGGTCCGGCACCAACACAAAGGCCGGGGCCCCTGTGGGAACACCTGGATTTCCCTGGATCTCCCCAGACCCTGCACCTTCCAGGCCAGGGCTCCCTGCTGCACAAGGCCCCGGGAAGCAGCCGTGTCCCTCACTGAGCCTGGCAGGATGGGCAGGGAGCACCGAGCCCCACAGCTCAGGGGTGACCTGAACCATTCCCAGTAAACCCCTGGGGACAGAACACAGATTTCCAGTCCGGGAAGCAGCACAACCCTTTTCCCCCCCAACTGCAAAGGGGACTGGGATCATCCCCATCCTCTCCTTCACCACCAAACCCCCACTTCAGCCTGACAGCCCCTGCCACAGACACAACACAGGACACGGCATTCCTAGGATGCCTGGAGTACTTGGGAAAAGCTACAAAATCATGGTCCATCAAACTAGCTTGGGGGTCTGACTCTCATTTTTAAGATGATGATGATTTTCATGGTGATTGGTGAATTTATTGGCCCCGCTGTCACTTTGCTTGGTGGGAGCATGGGGCCAGCTTATTCAGTGCATGTTCCTGAGTTTCTCCAGGAAGGTGAAGTCCCTGTCAGGGATAGGAAACATGGAATTCATCAAAAAAGGCACTCGCAGGTGGAGCCACAGCTTTGGCAGCAGCAGGGCAGCATCTCGTCCTACCCCAGTCAGCAGCCCCAGGGGGCAGCCCCTGCGGCGGCTCCAACCAGCAGTGCCCAGGTAAGCTCCAGGGCTGGGATGGTCTCCTCTGGCTGACCAAGAGGGAAAAGGACACCCCAGAAGCCCTGGGGTACCCCACTCTGCCAGGGGTAAAAGGCACGGAGCCCACGGCAGCCCAGGGACTGCCCAGGACCAGTTTTCAGTAAACCCCGGGAAGAAGAAAGGAGATTTCCAGCCCAGGGAGCAGCACGGTCCTTTCCACGCTCAGCAGGAACAGGACATGTGGCATAGGAGCTGAGCAGCATTAGGGATCATTCAGAGTCCCCACAAGGGACCAGGGACGGTGCTGATGGCATAGCCCCACAAACGCTGAGGTCCCTAAGGAGACATAAATGTCAAGGGCTGCTCCCACTTCTGAGCCCCAGCCCCTCGCCAGCCCAGCAGACAGCGGATGGAGCCTCTCCACTCACACGACCTCCCCTTCTCAGCCCCAGGAAGGGAGAGAACAGCGACCCTAGCCCTGCATCTGTGTGGGGAGCACAGGAACAGCAGCACTGAGGGGCGGCTGGGAGAGGAGCTCACCCAGCATCACCCAAATCAGAGCTCATTCCCAACAGGGGTCGTCTCTCAGAGGCGAATCCCTGCAGCCAGGAGAGCCCCAGGGCTCCTCGTCCCTTGGGCTGCACCCACAGCACCGGGATGGCCGTGCACGGCTCAGGCACACGGCTCGGGGAGGTCACACAGGGCTTGCTCTAAAATCTCGGAGGTGTCACACACAAAGAGCCCAGCTGGCAGAAGGTAAATGAACTCAAACAAAAAGTGCGGCACTGTTACAATTCTGTGTCACCTTCGGCTAAAAAAACGCTCCTACAGCTCTTCTCATCAGCGAACGACCACGGTAATTGTCAAAGAAAACAATGAAAGGTGACTGCGCCCGACCCAGGCCAGCCCCCTGGTATCAACCCAGCACCCCAGGCACGTCCACATCCCGCAGCGCCCGAGTCAGCCCCGCTCCCTGACGAAGCGTGCAGTCTCTCATTGCCTCGTACAGAGGGTCCCCCGTGGTGACATTTCCCCCGCAGCAGGGACAGCCCAACACGCCCGCTGCCGCTCCAAATGCTCTTCTAAACCCGGCAGCGCCAAACGCGGCATCGCTAAACCCGGCATCGCTTACCGGAGACGGCAGTGCCCGGGGTGCGGGCGAGGCCCCACGCAGGACACCCCATGGCCCGTCCGGCTCCTGCTCAGTCCCTGCGCGCCGCGGGCACCCAGGCGCCGGGGCGACGGCAATTCATATCCCTGCGGCTCCCGCACGGTTAACGGCAGGCTCCGGGCCCGCGGAGGAGAACTCCCTGAGGTGCTGACTCATCTTCTTCCATGCCTGTAAAGCACCATATTTCATCCTTCCACGCCCACAGCGCACAACCGCCGTGCAGCAGCTCCTCACGCAGCCCTGCACGCCTCGGTGCGTGCGGTGCCGGCGCGGTCGGTGCCGCCGCACCCCCGGTAGTGCGGCTCGGGAGGGATCGTGGGCCGGGCGGTACCGAGCTGCGAGCCGGCACCGCGCGGGGGTCACAACCGGCCTACCCCCCCCCCCCCCCCCCCCCCCCCCCCCCCCCCCCCCCCCCCCCCCCCCCCCGCCCCGGTAAATCTTTTATTCTATTATCATCAACTATTTTAGAACTAAAACGTGCCGCTGCTGCTGCTGCCTGTTCCGGCCCGGCGGGGACCGGCGGGGACCGGCGCTGGCTGCCCCAGCCCCGGGGTGCTTTGTCCCCAGGGGGGACCCCGGGCAGGGGACTCGGAGCCCGGCTCCTCGCAGCAGGAACCTCTGGCGGGGTCGGACCGGGGGGATCCCCCGTGGAGCCGGCCGGGGAAGCCCCCTGCGCTGCCCGGGCAAACAAAAGCCCCGGGCCGGGCCACCCCATTGTCCCCGCTCCGGCCGGGCTGCGGCCGCCCCCGCGCGGGAGGAAGAGGAGGGGTCGCACACAGACAATGCCTCCCCCCACCCCCCACGCCGGATCGCCCCGCCCCCTGCTCCCCATTGGCCGGCGGGGAATTTGGGGACCCCCCGCCCGCCCCTCCGCCGTATTGTGCCGGGGGGCGCGCGTGGGTCTGGGGGGGTCGGAGCGCGCGCGGCCGCCGTCGGGGGCGCGCCCGGGGGCTCCCCTTGTGTCTGAGTGCGCGGGGCCGGGGCCATGGAGGAGCTGAGCAGCGTGGGAGAGCAGGTCTTCGCCGCCGAGTGCATCCTCAGCAAGAGGCTCCGCAAGGTGGGACTCGCCGGCCCCGCACCCCTGCTCTCCCCGCACCCCTCACGCCGCTAACGCCCCTCTCCCGTCTCTCTTCGCAGGGCAAGCTGGAGTACCTGGTCAAGTGGCGAGGCTGGTCCTCCAAGTGAGCGGGGCGCGGAGCGGTGCGGGGCGCGGTGCGGGGCTGCGCGGATCGCGGAACCACGCGGTGCGGAGCGGGGTGCGCTGCGGAGCGCGGGTACCGCCCGGCCGGCCGCTTTTGTTTGGGTAGTGCCGCTCCTTTTGTTTACAAATAAGCGCGGCCGCGGCCGGGCCCTCCCCGCCACCGCGTGGGGCTCCGCTCCCCCCTCCTCGGGCCGGTGCAGCCCCCCCCGGAGTCGCCGCACCCCCCCGGTTGTGGCGGCCCCGCGCCCCTCGCCCGCTCTGCTGAAACCGGAGCTCCCCCGGGATGCGCGGGACTCGCCTCGCCCCGCGGCGGCGTGGCCGCCCCCTTCCCGATCTCCCTCCCCCGGGCCCTCTCCCCTGCCCGCCCCCCGGCTGTGCCGGCCCCCGGTACCGACGTGCCCCGGTCCGTGCCAGCCCCGGGTGTCCCTGGGGGAAGCCCCCGGTGCCGGAAGGGCGCGGGGGGGTCCGGCCCCCTGCTCTCACCCGGTCCGTGTCCTCTGTTGCAGGCACAACAGCTGGGAGCCTGAGGAGAACATCCTGGACCCCCGGCTGCTCCTGGCTTTCCAAAAGAAGTGAGCAAACTCTAAATGTTTCTAAGCAAACTGTAAAGTCAATTAACTTCTAATTGGCTGCACGTGTGGTGGAAGCCGTTGGAAACAACAGCCTGGAGCTGGCGGGGCCCTTTGTGGCCAGGCCCTTTTGTTTGTCCCCAGAGTCACGGTCGGTCCAGGTCTACCTAGAACAGCTCTGCCCTGGCCAGACAGACACCGAGGGTTTATGGCCCAGCAGAGCTCTGGGTGCACCAGGGGAACGGGGCAGTGCCTGGCACAGACCTGGGGCTCCCTGTCCCCATCCAGGGCTCCGGGACCTTGGCTGTGCTTGGGGGGTGGCCGCAGACCCCTGGGGGGAGGTGGTGTCTTGGCTTGTGAGGCATTAAAGCAAACTTGTGGAGAGTGAACCTCTGGGAGGGTGAGGGAAATAATATCTGTGAGAAAATAGTAGAGAATGGTTTGGATTAGGAAGGACCTTCAAGTTCTTCCCAATCTACCCCATCATTTCCACTATCCCGGGTTGCTCCAAGTGCTCTCCAACCTGAATTTAGATGTTACCATGGATGGGGCAGCCACAGCTGCTTTGGGCAGCCTGTGCCAGGGCCTCAACCATCCTCTCAGGGAAGAATTTCTGCTTAATATCCCATGTAACCCTGCCCTCAGTCAGTTGGAAGGCATTCCCTGTGTCCTGTCACTCCAGGCCCTTGTCCAAAGTCCCTCCCCAGCTCTCTTGGAGCCTCTTTAAGTACTGGAAGATGCTCTGAAGTCTCCCTAGAGCCTTCTCCAGGCTGAGCAACCTGGATGGCAGAACAAAATGGTGTCTGTCCTGTCAGGTCCATGCTCCTGCCTGGAGCCAGGCTGAGAACAGCAATGGTTCCACAGCCACTGCACCCCAGGAATCACTCACGGAGCAGAGGGTAGCCAGCTGGCTATGGCAAGACATAGTGCTGCCAAGTACTTTGACATAGTAATAATAAAAATCATCAAAGTTTATGATAGGATTCAATTATGTCTGGTTTCTGGATCAGTTTTTTTAAAGAATAGGATCTGATGTTGAGTGTGCAGACAGGATGGTGTTTAATCAGCTGGATGTATTACATCTAAACACCATCCTATTTAAACAGAAATAGGAAACGAGTACAATGACCTGAAACATCTCATCCTGGGCAACCATGGCCAGGGCAGGAGGTGCAGGAGAGGTGGAAGGAGTCCAGCAAAGGAGCTGAGCTTCCAGGGAATGTGTTTGCTTCTCCCATACTCAGCATGGAAGCTCAGCACAGCAGGAGCATAACCAAGGCAAGGCTTAGCAGGACTGGGGACAGATGCTTCCCTTTGCCTGATCCCCTTGTGCCAGAAAAACAGCAAATCTCACCAGGAGCTGGAAAAGGCACAGGTTTGGGAAGGGTAACTCCACGTGGTCCATCACTGACTGCTGGAAGCTGCAGGGATGTTGCTGGTGCAGACAGGGATGCTCTCCGGCCACTACCTGGCTGCCTCAGTTCCCCCAGATGTTTTTTTCTTCCCTGTAAACATTGTCCTTAATCCTTGTTTCCTCCAGGGAACACGAAAAAGAAGTGCAGAATCGGAAGAGGGGCAAGCGGCCCCGGGGCCGGCCCAGGAAGAACGTGGTGAGTCCCAGCAGTGGTGGGTAGGCAGCTCTGGAGGGGCTCCGGCCTTGGAGGGTACCGGGGTTTGGGGGTGGCCTCGAGCACACAACTCATCTTGTCAGCTGATGGATCCCTGAAGATCAGCTACACAGAGAGAGAACCTGGGCATGTCTGAGGGCCCTGGCCAGGCCACCCTGGAGGGTTTGTATTGCCATAACCATTCCTTTGTCACTGCTGTTAACTCTCCCTGTCTCTGTTGCTTTGCAGGAACCAGAGATGCCTGCGAAAGCTAAGTCAAGTAGCTCCTCTTCCTCCACATCCTCCTCTTCCTCCTCCTCTGAGGAAGAGGATGAAAGTGATCTGGAAGCAAAGAGAGGTCCTCGCAGCAGAGAAACGCACCCAGTGCCACAGAAGAAAGCTCAGATCCTGGTGGCCAAGCCCGACATGAAAGACGCTTCCAGGAAGAAGCGTGGCCGGAAACCTCTTCCCCCAGAGCAGAAAGCGGCTCGAAGGACTGTGAACCTGACAAAGGTGCTGAAAACGTCCCGGAAGGAGGTGGGGGGCAGTGCCAAGCTGGTGGGGAAGCTGCAGCCCCAGCACAGCACACAGGGCTCAGGCATGGCCATGCTGAAGGATCCACCAGGCACCTTGGCTGGGCTCAGCTCAGGGGGGTCATCAGTGGAAAACCTGCCCAACATGATGAAGAGCGGCTCAGCGAGCCCCAGCCAGGCCATCAGCTGGCAGAGCTCCATCGTGCACTACATGAACAGGATGTCCCAGAGCCAGGCTGCAGCCGAGAGCTCGGCTCTGGGCAGGCTGGCGCTGAAGGCACAGGCAGCCAGCAAGGGCAGCTTAGGGCTGGACTTGAAAATGAGGAACCAGAAAGGCTCTGGGGAGCTGGGGCTGAACGCACAGGCACCCAAAACTGCAAAGGCTTCCGGCAGCAGCGTTGGAGGAGGCCAGAAATCGGGGTTTGCTGCTGGAGGCCAGATGCTGCCCAACGGCAGCAAGGCGCTGTCGAGCTCGTCTGGGACCAGCATCCAGCCGGCCTCCAGCCAGGAGCTGAACCTCCAGGCTCTGAACCTGCAGAGTGTCAAAAACGGGCCGAGCACGGCCAGCGGGAGCAGCCTCCCCCGGCACCTCTGCGGCTCCCTGGCCAAGGGCTCCGCTGGCAGCACGGCCAGTGCTGGTGCCAAGGGCGGCGGCGGTGCCAAGGGCGGCGCGACAGGGGCTGGGCTGAACGCTGCCAGTGCTGCTGCACTCCCAGGGGGGGACGGAGGCAAGAGCAAGAAGCAGACACAGCGGGCGGGTGACAGGGACTCGGCCAAAGGTGGTGCTCCAGAGGGACACGCGGCCGCAGAGAGCCGCAAAGCCTCCACCCTGTCCGAAGTGAGCACAGGCGAGGACACCAGCTCAGATTCAGACCGGGATTCAGCTTCCCTCCCAGGTGTGGGTCAGAACATGTCTGTCTCCATCCAGACCAGCCAGGACTGGAAACCCACCCGCAGCCTGATTGAGCACGTCTTTGTCACCGATGTCACCGCTAACCTGATCACAGTGACGGTCAAGGAGTCCCCCACCAGCGTCGGGTTTTTCAACCTGCGGCAATACTGAGCCCAGGAGTGTAAGAGGAGGGAGAGGGTCTTTCAGCCCCACCCTCACCTTTGCCCAGCTTTTCCATCAGGTGTTTTTTTCTTCAAGCAAACGCGGAGCCCTCGTGAGACCTGCTGGAACTCGTGTCTGGAAAGGCTGGACCAATAACGCAGTGAAACCCGCTCCAAACTACCAGCAGGTCCTGATTTCCTCCCTGGCTTCTCTCCATCCCCTTCTGGAGCCGTGCCCCATGTGGGGGTGTTGGTGCCATTCTCTGGGAGCAGGGCACCGGTGCTGCTGGGGTGT